TATCGTTTGTACGCGTGTAGTACATATTTAAATATAAACCCTTTTTTAATGGTCAAAAAATGTTAAAGCCGAAACATCGTAATTGTAGTTAAAACAAAATTAAGTTAACTTAACTAACTTATTTAGAGTTATATACTGTTAAATGTTATCTATAGGTATATACATGTCTGTAAAAAAATTGTCAGTGAAACGGACACAGAAATGAGTTCGCCGGGTTCACCGTTCGGAAACGAAGCTACAGAATGTTGTAATATCATCACTGACACTATAATATTCATAATGTTCTCCTTAACATATTTACATGAGCTGAAAACCACTTTTACTTGTACATTATTGCATTCCACAAAGGATTGGTTGGTCTAATGGATTGAGCAACTGAGGTTAGTGAGGTCGCAGGTTCAGTTATTACAACAAAATTTTCTACTCTAAACTAATTTCGTTAAGAAGCGAAGCAAACACTAAACTTTTAATCCGGTGGTAGCTTAACAGGGCGAGTTACACTTGTGGGATATGTAAAAATGACGACTGATTTCAAAATTTCATAATAAATTGATCAGTCATGAAATAGTTTTTCTAGTTTTTTTTTATGTTAAAATTTTCAGGTCACAGCACTCGTATTGTATTCTTGACGTGAAGTAATACAATGTCGTTTGCGCTTGTAAAATTCCAAGTGCATCAGAGCCAATTTTTGTCGCTGATTGTACAAAAGCGCAGCGTGAAACGGAATTTGTATATTTTAGACTGTGATTTGATTCTGAAATGTCGCAGCCGACGGTGAAATTGTCAGAAGGGTTCCTAGCGTTCTTGGATATGTCAGTATTCCGCTGAGACGTCGGCCTGCGTGAATCAGACGTATTCGACATAACTCCCCGCGAAAAATCCCAAACGAGATCAGAATATCAATTGGTTCCTGTCAAATTTTCCCAGCAAATTACCACCGAATATTGTGCCGAGATATTTACATTATTTGCATAATGTGTCGGATTGTAATATCGGAAAAAAGTTAAGTGAAAACGAACTGTGTAACAGGTGCCATTTATTGTTTAGTGCGTTGCTCGATATTGTTTATCGAAAAACTACGTGACCGGCTGACTTTTTACAAGGCAATAACAAAAATGTCTGAGTTACTAATGACTAGTTAAACATTATACCGTGACCACTCATATCAAACAATTATGGCAAAATCTAACAAGTCCAAGGGAAGATTGTTATACATTAATTGTAATAATATCTGATCCGGCAAACTTTGTTTTGTTTTTTGCAATATCAATATTATTCTGTTGATACAACTCTATTAGTAATATACATTTTAGAACCATAAAAATTGTTACGGAACATACTTAAAAGATAGGCATATTTTTTATGCCAAAACCCACCCCAAAAAAAAAAAAAAAAAAAAAAAAAAAAAAAAAAAAAAAAAAAAAAAAAAAATTTTTTTTTGGGCCCCCCCCCCCCCCCCCCCCCCCCCCCCCGGGGCCCCCCCGGCGGGGGGGGGGGGGGGAAAAAAGAGGGAAGAAAAAAAGGTTAAAAAAAAAATGGGTTTTTACCCCGTTAAGGGGTTTTTTTTAAATGTGTCCCCCTCGCGGAAACTAGAGACAGGATTTTTTTTATGATCATTTCAAAATTAATTATTCTTTCGATAGTCTTCGGTTTGGACCGTTTTCGCAGCGTACGCAACGAAAAACCACATGATGATGGATAAATCATTTTCCCCGTTTTTACCATATTTCCTGCTGTTTCATCGCTTGTATTAGTAGCATCGTGATGTTTTACAGCCTATATATAGCCTTCCTCGATAAATGCTCTAACCAACTCAAAAATATTTTTTTAATCCGTACCAGTAGTTCTTGAGATAAGCGCGTTCAAACAAACTAACTCTTCAGCTTAATATATAAGTATAGATTGTGATTACTAACAAATGTTCAATCGCCACGTAAAATCAATGCGGAGAATTTTTTCCTGTATTTCTTCGTTCCTGGAAGCTATTGAAGATGTGAATAGAGTTCTGAGGGGTCGTTAACAAAGGAGTTACCGCCACCGGCTACGTACACCCTCGTGAATAAAGTCACAGTTAATTGTCGCTATCTGAAACTTTCAACCTAGAACTGAGAAATAGTTTCAGCGCTTTATAGCTGTTCATATTTTTTATAATCTCGCGGTTTCTTACGAAGATGTTCTCCAAAGTTTTATAGATCAGTGGTTTTTTAATTGTTACATAAAAAACTATAAATGTAATACAGTCTATAGTTTACGCGAGTAATACATTTCAATAAAACACAGCCGTGGTCACGGGGAGACGGCTGCTGCAAAGCATGTGCAACGTCGGGCTGAAGTTAAAAATCATTTTCAAATAAGTTTAACTAATATATCGCGTTTTAAACCGTTAACGTCTTTTATTTAAACTATAAATGTATTAAATTAATTTTGAAGTTAATATTTTTGTGTAAGGTACATAAGAGAAATTTTAAACTGTGAAAAAGAATCTGTTAAAAATAAAACCTCTATAAAAGCAAAGGTCAATTCAAACTTCCACTACACCAAGCATTTGGATTTTTATGATAGGGAAAGATAGTCATATAACATCTAAACAAAATGCGCTATCGACCTATGTTGCCTTTGGATATTCGAGACTAATTCAATAAAATGTTATTAGTATATTAGTTAAATTAAAACATTAACGTTAATGTATTAAACTGGGGTTTGCGCGTCTTCATTAAATTACTCCAGTTTCATTTCATTAACTCGATTCTCAGGTGGTTATAACAAAACGAAGTCAACAATAACTCTGACAATTATTGAACAAAAAGAAGCGAAAACTTTGTGAAGCTCCGAAATTAATTAATGACAATAAACGGTACTAATGAAGCCTTTTAAATTTGAACCGGGGTAATGATTAATTAGGCGCGACGCTGAAAACTCTGAACTTCGACTACATTTAACACGTAGGCAGTTGGAATTAGTAAGTGTACTTTTTACATTTAAAAGTTAAGATTTATTCAAGTCTTTTATCAACGAATTTTTCTTTAGTATTAGACTAAGACTAAGTGGAGGACAGACAAGTATGGGGTTTGCTTGATAGCATGAAATAATACAGCCATAGGTATAGCCATCTAAACACGATGTACTGCCGCCCTATTTGGCTTTTGATATTCACATATCCACTGACTGCAACCGAAACGCGATTACCCAACTATACTGTAATTTCATCTGTGGACACTTTTCCACTATCATCAACTTCCAGTTATCCAGACAAAGTACATGAGAAAACGTATAAATTGGATAAAAACATGTTCAGCCCGGTGGGTATCCAAGCCACGACCCGTCGATCGTTGACCATATATTGTACAACCAAGTACGTACGCTAATAATCTAAATACGTAAATAATTGATATGGATTCAAATAAAGTGTGTATATTTGTTTCAGGATTACACTGATCTGAATTTCGATATGTTTACCACGAAGTACTCCTACAGTAGAGTTTTAAATCTTTGCTCCAACCATCTCTAAGTAACCACTCCGCCTGAAAAATGTGTTCAGGAGGATATATCGCCGTTTCGTTACACATGTACAGTTTTATGAGTTTGCTAAATGGGCTAAGAGCATCGTAGCGCATTCACAGATTATAACATCATTCATTTTTATTAAAGTAAGTGAATCGTGAAAAACATTAACAAGATTACGTTAGGCTTTGTTCTAATAGTCATATTATATTTTTATGTGGATTGTATTACTACATAATACACATTGTATATAAAGAGTATTTACACATAAATATTTATACATTAATTACAAATTAATAATACATTGTTTTTAATACCTATAATTATATTAAAGTAGAAGCTTCACGAAGTAATTACAGCAGGTACCCGCTACTTTGTCTATCGTTCGAGTGTTTATTCGTCCACTTCAGTTAATGACTGTAAAGCAATATTCAGATCATGAGTCGGCACTTGGCACTGCGGCAGGGGTTGTCAACTATTATAATAAATGCTTTCAATATATTTTGACTACCTACATAATACTTTGTTGTTGTAGTCTCTTATTTTCGTTGTATAATTTCAATTTCTCTTAAAATATTGGTAAATGTATTAATTATTTTTTATTTGATAAAGACGTCAAATCATATATTAAATTTTTTGGCTATTTCCTTCTTTTAAAAATTATTTGATTCTATATAAAAATGTTTAGCACCTCTGTTTACAACTCGGGGTGGGTATTATGAGAGGCTCCTGACGCAGCATTTTTCAGTGTGTCAAAAAATAGCTATATATCATTTTTAAGGTACTCTTGACGTTTATTAAAATTCCTCACGTTTTGATTGACGTTCTCGAATTGCTTTCGTTTTAGGATTTAGGTAATACTTTTTACGACCCATCTACTTTTAGGCATATTAATTATTCGAATTTTAAACTCAAAACCGTTTGTTTTCCTTTAAGAATAAATCAGTACGCATGTTATTTTAAAAAGCATAGCTTTTTAAAATAACATGATTTAAATAAAACACTAACGGTTTAAACCGCGGTGTATATTAGTACAACTTATTTGAAAATTATTTTAACTGCGGCCGACGTTTCGGAAGCTTTGCAGTAGACGTGGTCACGGGGAAAGTAATATTAAAATAATAATTTTTAAATAAGTTTAACTAATATATTTCACGTTTTAAACCGTTAAAGTGTTTTATTTAAACATCATTACTACAATAAGCTTTGCTGCATTTTGCAATGTTAGAAAGAAAATCTGTTAATTGCGCCAAACTAACTTAACTACGCAAGAATGTTGTTTATATAATTATATCTTTTCGCAACCCCCATTGCACTAATGTTAAATGCATTGTGTTAGACCAGGGGTTCCCAAAGTTGACTGGGCTACGACTCATATGAAATAAGTTTACAAACTCGGGACCCACCTCTAGGAAATTTAAGCATTAGCAATGTGAATAAAGGACTTTTGAAATAACAAACTATTTTAATAAAATCTTTTATTACTTAATTATATAAATTTAATGCGAAGGATGAAATTGTTTCCTATGTTTTGCCATTACAGTTTTGACATCTACTTCAACTTTTGTTACTTTTAATCGCAGTGAGTTTGATAAGTCCAATTTATTTCGGTATTTAGTTTTAATGTTCACCATATTCGAAAACCCAGCCTCACATAAGTATGAGGTAGTAAAGGGGAGGAGGACTTTCATAGCTTCATCAAACAGGCATGGATAACTACCAGCAACCGAGAGCCAGAATTTCGTTAATGGCTTATGATTGAAACTATTTTTTTGTGACGAATCTTCTGATAAATCAATTAGCTCTTCACTTGCTTTTGTTGACATACCAGTTGGTAGGGGGTCTTGAAATGGGTTACAAATCCATTTCAACAAGTCGAGCTTTTGCATCTCCTCGCCGAAATAGTCGTCAAAGTTTAGGCCTTGCACGTCTGTAGACTCATCTAGTCATCTAGGGCCCACTCAATATTTGCTCGCGACCCACCAGTGGGTCGCGACCCATAGTTTGGGAAACCCTGTGTTAGACATTAGAGGTTCTGGTTCAAACCAGACCAACAAGTAGTTTCGGTCGTATAGAATAGAAGTCTGATCAAATACCTACTTACTTGTGAAGATTATTGATCAGTGTTGCATTAATGACAAAGAAAAATAAGTATGTAGCCAGTCAACATTAGATATAAATTGTGTAAGGCTTTCACGGCCATCGTTCAGCATATCATTGTCTTTCGGGCTGTTCAGCCGATGTGAGCGAGAAGAGGACATTAGATATATTATATAAAACACATATTCTTTCTGTAGTTTCATACTAAATAAGGCTTGTTTTACCCAGTTTAATTTGATCAAATGCACAATATTGTTAACTATTCATAGAAGTGCAATTCAACGACGAGGCGTTATATAGCGAGAAAGCTGTAAGCGCCCTAATTAAGAAGTAACATCTTTTCGCAAAAACAGTCTGCGCTTACAGTTTCCTGTTTATTCAGGGAGCCAAAAGAGTGTTGATGTTGTGCCTTTATATTCGATTGCCAAAGAAAAATACAGAGATTTCTTAACGTAAAAATGAGAACATAATTTCGACAAATTGAATCCTTTTAACGTTTGAAACCTTTCATATTTTTAAAATTAAAAGTCGATTAAAATTAAAAAAATGTACGACTCTGGCAGGACATGAACTGGCATGCACAGCATTCCGTGCTGTTGCTGTAACCCATTTGAAAATCACTTGGTAGCCATTGGTTAGAGCAATAGCACAAAACGCTGTGAATGTCGGTTCAAGTCTTGCCAGCGTCACTATCAAAGAATTAAAAAAATTAAATCAATCAATTACATTTCATTTTATTTACAAGTTCAATATTACGTACATTGGGCAACCAATTATAGAGAATACAGTACAGTATTTACACTACAGTAGTTTAAGCCCTAGAGTGTAACTTAGACCCGTTGGTTTAAAAGTTAAGATGGCTCAACATGAAAATTACTCTGAACTCGCTTCTACATGCAACTGTCTGGTTATAGTTAACGTGACAAAAAGCGCCAAGTCAGCGTCAAATCCATAAGTTACGATAGTCCAGTCACTTAGGGCCGGTTCCACTGAGGAATTTATGGGAAAGGCTCAGCGGCATTTGACATTGTTTTACGCAGCACTGACTTTGATTACGTCGTTAAACCTAACGAGATCATAAAACAATCGGTTAAACGATTGTCTAATGACAATTTATTGTTTGTACCTTGTTTCTTGTATCTATAAGACACGTACACATAGATTGACGCTTCCATGGCTCAGTTGTTAAACGGGGTTCAAAATACACAGAACTATGTCTACCACGAAGGGAAAATGCAAGGAAAAATCAAATACACATCGATACTCCTCACCAGCTTTTATTTTTTAGTATTATATTTAAAAAGCGTTAAAAAATAAAACTGTATTCGTCTTAGGCTTTTTACAGTGTTTAAGTCTTTTTATAGTAATTATCTTAATGCTTTACAGTAAATGTGGTAACGAGGGACAGTATTCTGGTTTAATCTGATAAATGTGTTGGTAATCTTTGGTAATAGTAGAATTATGATCTACATATTATATAGAACTTTAAAAAATGTATTTTAAAGTTGATACTAAAAATACTCCCTTTAGTATATTTTGTGTATTTTTTTGTGTGGTTATAGCTTAAGAAATTATTTTCCAAAAGATTAACAGAAAACTCCTATAATTTTAAATCTTAAACGCATGCCAGTACTAATGCTGGTATAGCTGTGCCGGCGACTTTGTCCGCATAGTTATTTTGGCCATCATAATGTGATTTTGCAAACCTTTTCATCTTCTTATCTTTATCAATTATAGCTGTACCTACGACGTCAGTCGCGTCCCGTCTTTCTTGCAAGTAATCTTAAAAGATAGACATATCGTTTGGATGACATTTTTTTTAATCATTTAAAGAGGAATTACTCTTCCATACATATATTTGGTTATCTTAAACCTTTTTCTTGTTGTTTCCACAATACACAATGCTACTTCGCTTCTATTAGTCGCAGCGTGGTTCTATAAAGCCTTCCTCGATAAATGTTACAATCATTACAAATAATTTAATAATTCATAATAATACATTTTAAATTTAAATAAGTAGTTCCTGAGATTAGAAAGTCGAAACAAACAAACTCTAAAGCTGTATAATATTAGTTTGGATACAGATAGCCAGAAGCTTACAAAGGAGCCAGCTTCTATGTGAAATTATGTTGAATTTTACGCGCAAATAAAACAACCACTGAACCAACAAATACAAGTTCCGTAACCGATCAAATAAAGCGAACGCAAGTTGCAGAGTCGAGCTCCTTTATTTTCTTCTATGTCTATGATTAGTTTCGCAGAGAACGAAGCTGTTAAGCCATTATGTATTCTGTTACCATGTTCCCAAAGTAATCGGTAACTTCGGTGTTTGGCTCGGAGCTAAACTGCAAATTTAACGCGGCAATGATTCTGTAAAGCGAACCGTCTATTTAATAAAGTTTTACAGAACGTGGTGCTATTTTGTTCAACTCCAGTTTTACATTAGTCTTATTTTTATAATTATACAAATTGCTATCGTTTTCAACCTTTACTGGGCACTGGTGCTAAAAGCGTTTCTGTTCAGACACAAGCAGCCTGTAAAAATTACTACCACTAGATAAGTGATAAAAACGTATTCTCAAGACAATTACAAGTCCTAGGTATTAGTTATAATTCCCTTAAAATTAAGTTACTTAGTATGATTGAAATTTCAATAAAATGCTTTGAAAGACCCTCCGTGACCTCGGCTGCTGCAAAGCTACAGAAACTCCGCGCCGTAGTTAAAATAGATTGTTAAAAAGAATTACTAATACATTTCGCGTTAAAAACCATTAATTAAAGTGTCTTATTTAAATGCGTACTACTACGTCTATATGAGCTTTTGTACGAGCATACAATCATACATGTTTATAAAATTACTAGTAGACCCGGCCACGCGTTGCTGTGGCTGAAGTTATTGTTTATAGCAGTGCCATCTATTGAATTGTAGCTTATATGACACGTTTGTCGGTTTACCATAGCAGTGCCATCTATCGATTACTTACTCAATCCATTGTAACTGTCAATAATTTGCAATAAAATAAAATTGTGACTATAATTAAAGATCTAAACTATCCTATGTCTCAAGTAGGACCAGACTGCTCACGGTGTGCCAATTTCATTTAAAATCGGTTCAGTAGTTTAGGAGTCCATAGCGGACCAACATCGTGACACGAGATTTATATATATAAAGATATACGCGTTATCTTCCACCAAGGCCAAGGAATGTTCGAACACGCCCGTATCGTCGTTTGAAAGCTCAAAGGGGTAAACTTCAATAATATTAACTTGGAATTAACCACGTTTAAACTTTAGTTTTAAAATTATATATCGTTTGTGTTTGCAGTAGTTTTAATTATATTACAAGTATACTATCTAGTGATGTTAAAATAGTTGTGTTGTTTTTCTATATAAAAACGTGGATAAATTTAATTTGATTGAAAAAAAAATGAATTGACTTGAACCTCCTTCTGTCTCCTTTAAATTTATTCAACCCATAGATCATTCTACCTCTCTGGCAATGTAATACTTATAAGCTGTTTGCCGCGCTCGTTGCTTCAATGATAACGCTGTATGACTAATAATCAACGGGTCGTGGATTCGATCCCGACCAGGACCAACATTTTTCTAAACAATTTATAAAATACTGTCTATAGTTTACGCGAGTAGTACACATTTAAATAAAACACTTTAACGGTTTAGAACGCGATATATTAGCTTTGCAGCAGCCGTGGTCACGGGGAGACCACGGCTGCTGCAAAGCATCCGAAACGTCCGGCCGAAGTTATAAATCATTTTCAAATAAGTTTAACTTATATATCGCGTTCTAAACACGTTAGTGTTTATTTAAACAATTTACAATTTTACTAAAGCATGTTGGACTTCGTCTGGTAATTTGAATGAAATTATTGGAGTGCTACGACTCCTTACTCTATTGGATCCTATAACGGAGTTGTTCAGCAATGTCAATGAAGAGTAATCGTGTAAGAAGGAATATATTGAAGTCCAAAGGCCATGTTAAACGTAATGTATCGAGGCAATCACGTGTTCCTGTCCTGCAGCGTTTATTGGATTGCAGAACTTTACGCTCGTTTATTACTACGGGCGTTCAACCCTTTTATTAAAGCGCGTGTCTTCGAAGACGAACCTGGAGCTTCTTTTAATCTTATGACTGAACGCGCGTCGAATGAAACGACAGTGTTATACTAAGTCAGTTTTGACAGGATTAAAATTTTTCTTTTGTTGATTTTAACTTGAAAGCTGAAGCTTTAATATTCTAATTTGTTTTCAAATCAAAGCAGTAAATAGAAATGTGATTGAGAGAAAGAATTTCCTTTTAATATCACTCTGTAAAGAATTATTAGTGAGGCAGTAAAATTGTTTTAACAATATATTCATGTTATTTACTAGCTGACCCGGTGTACGTGATTTTGTAATATAAATGTTTTCTAAAGAATTTTTTGTCTTATATTAGTGCTCGGAGTAAAGTAAACGATGAGAAATTTTAACATAACAAAACACAAAGCATTAATGTGTTTTAGTTTATCCATACCGGTAGACGCTTGGGGGTGATGACTTAGCTTATTATTATATATAAGTGATCAGCTATCTAGCAATTTTTAAAATGATTAAATTTCTTAAATAACAATAAAAATAGGGTTTGGTAACAGAAGAGAAAAAATTAAGTTGTATTTATTTCTTAATGCCACATAATAAAAAATTGTTAGGGTAGATAACCCTTATCACCTAATCCGCATCCTAAAATACATCACAAAATCAAGAAATAATAAGAATAAACAAAATGTTGTGT